TGGGCTTCACATCAAAATGATGACATATGCTACACATTCAACATCAGCTACTACCAAAAGTTGAGCTATTTTGGGCCTCTCCTGAATGGCAGGGAGAGCAGATGCCTCCCTACCTCCTCCTGGAATCTCCCTTGCTGGTCCATCTGCAGGTACCAAAGTGCTGGCCAGGAAGATGCCATCCACCCTTGCCACTAGGTAGGTGTTTCCTAAGATCTCTGGGAACCTTAAGCAAGCTTTTGAGAGGAGAGGGCTCTTCCTTGCTGGCATTTGGCCTTTGCTTGACTTTCTGCAAGGGTTTGTTTGTGTCTGCACTGTAATAGAGTGTGGGTTGTATATTACCACAGTGATTTTGTTCGCAGCTAGTAATTGCTGGTTAAATCTGGTCAAATGAACGTTGTTAGCAGGGCCTGTTTGAGCACAGATAACCTCAGATATTATTTGTGCAGAGGAGCAGTGGGGGCTGAGGGGCACTGGGATATCGGCACTGCCGGGGAGCCCTAATCGGCACAGCCTGGAATAAGCTTCTTAGGATTATTTAGCCAAGTTTCCTAGTTATCATTATTATTATTGCTTTATTTAGCAAATGCAAAGGCTGTTTAACCAGGTAGGGTCTGCAATCCACTCGATGGGCTCAGCCAAGCCTGCCCAGCAATTGAGGGCAGAGATCTTTTGGGGGAAGCAGCCTGGTTGCCAGTAGCTGTGTGTCAGCCCTGAGTGAGCCAAGGAGCCAGGCACATGTTGCTTTTCAATTTACCCCCTTCCCATGCACACAGCCATGCTGGAGCTAAGCTCATTTGAAGAAGAAAGAAATATGTTTTGTACCTACCAGCTGGTTGGACTGAAGACAACATAGGTCCCAAGTCACCCCAGAGGGATGGAAGGGTCTTTTCCAGCAGTGCTGGTGGAATGTTGGCATCCTTTGGCTGTGTTGTGATATCCCCCATTCCTGCCCCTGCAGTCAGGTTGAGCTGGTGTTATCTGCTGGCACTCTCTCATACCTAAGGCTGTGGTTACTTGTGGTGGTTTAATACAGGCTTTAAAATGATTGGGAAAAAGCAAAAACACAAGCTAGAGCTGTGCAGGTTGGGGCTGCCTTGTGTCACCTCCCTGGGGGGCTGACAAACCTCCCTGCTTCAGCCTGCTGTGGGTCCCTCTGCCTTCAAGGATGAGTGAGATGCAGAGAGAGTTCCTCCAAATGGATGCTTTAATTTGGCATCTTTGTGCTCTTTCCAGGCTCTTCTCTGGCAGCACCAGCAGAGCAGGAGGTTCTGTGAGCTCCTTTGGGTTTGAGCAGACAAAGGATTAAATAAAGCACCAGTGGGTCAGTCACTGAATCTCTGGTAAGCAATGGGGATGTGAGGTCCTGCTGCTGTACTTGTCATTTGGAAAGGAATTGATCAAGCTGGAATCAGCCCCTGTTCTTATTGATTTTAACCTGGAACAGGAGAATTTGAGGCTTAGTGCTTGAAAGGAAATTGGTTGAAGTGTGTCCCGAGGGCAGCCTGTGTTTCTGGATGCATGTTTAATCTGTGTGCTGCTGTTTTGTGGGCTGTAGGAATATTCCTCCTGTTTGCAGGGCAGCTCCCTGGTCTCAGGAGGATGCTGGGCTGTAGCATGGCTCTGCACAGGGAGAGTGTGTGCCACAGGCTTTGTCTGGATGTGCTTCATTCTCTGCTCGTGCCCCTGCTCAGGACAACATTTAAAGTCTGTCTGTCCCAGCTCAGGATGCTTCTCTGAGCCTGGGCTGGTGTTGGAGTGATGGTTCCTGCATCCCATGTCCCAAGTACAATGTCATGTGTGCTGAACTCAGGATCTTGTCACAACTTTCCCACATCACTGGGAGGACACACAGCTTTTGCCAGGGACAATGTGCTCTTCTCCATCATCTCATTCCTAAAACTCCATGATGATCACCTCCACCTTCCCTTAAGGATGTCCCCTCTTCGTACAGGGATGAGCATCCCCCAGCAGAGTGGCTTTGCTCCCTGCCAGGCAGAGCTGTGGCTCCTGGTGCTGAAAACAGCACTGGAACATTTAAACTCTCTCTCTTCCCTCCTGGGGGACTGGTGAGGAAGCCACATCTCCCCTTTCAGGGCAGCGAAGGCCACATGCGTGGGCACTGCAGCAGCTCTGAATTGCCCTGGCAGAGCGAGGGATCAAATCAAGTCACATTCCAGGGCATTAGACAGACGGTGGGAATTAAAAGCTTTACCTGGAAACTGGCTTTGTATCTCAGCCCAACTCTCTATTTTTGTCCCTTTTACCTTCTGTGTTGTCGTGTGTGCCAGTGCCTGGTGCCTGGCTGTGCAACCAGCCCCAGTCACGTTTGGGGAGCCCTTGGTAAATATGGGGCTGTGCAGACCAGGAGGAACCACTTAGCCAGTATGAGAAGGTAGGAAAAGTGTGGTTTATCAAAACTGAGCTGCTTTGGGACTCATTAAAGGCTAAGGAACAGCTCCAGCTGCTTGCAGCAGGCTTGGGATCGGTCAGGGACTAGAAAGTCCCATCTGGGCTATTAGCAGTAAGGCTTGTTTTTGTTTCTTTCAGTCTATAAGGCTGGGGACAGGGTCTCCCTTGGGGACCACTCCTGCCCTGATTCAGGGAGATTTGCCTGCTTCAGTTCTGCCTTTGCTTTTCCCTTCATCTGGTCCCCTTGTGTCATCAGCTGCTCTTCTGCATCCCTGGGTGAGTGGAGCATCTCTCATCGGTGCTGCTGGGCCCCAATCCAGTGCAGGAGGAGAAAGAACTCAGGGGTTCACCTTGATTTTCTGACCTATAAAACAATCCTTGCCTATTTGGGTCTTGTGCTCTTTGAGGAAACATTTGAAATGATGACGCTTTTGTAACGGCAATAACGACATTAGGCTCTCATACGTAACTTAATTTTATTTATTTCTTTATTTGCCCTTTCTTAGAGGAAATTGCTGCTTTTTTTCTGGGCATCGGGCCCAACTTTTGTTTTGTTCTGTCTGAGTCCACACCACGTCCTGGATGCTGCACCCAAAGATGGAGACTGTGTGCAAGAGCACACCCAGGCTGCTCCAAAGCCAGAGGTACCTCTTTGTGCTTCCCATGACATTCCCATGGAAGAAGGAGCAGTGAGTAGTCTCCTGCTCTCCCAGGTCTTAGAGCATTCACGTGCATCATGTCTGGGTACAGAGCAATGACAAGTTTGGATGCTTCAGGCGAGAAACATTTGCTTCCGAGTGAGGAGTAAATGAGTTTAGTTTGCCTAGTGTCAGTGTGATATGAGTCAGGGATGTGCATTAACATTTACCAAAATCTGAATGAAAACTGAACTCTGCATTAGACAGAAAGGTTGAGTGTCATTTTGCTGGGATTTGGGGAAAATTCTCTGAGGAACAGAGACTGCAGGAGACTGCAGCTGTGTGCATTGATAAGGAAGCTGTGTGCTGCCAGGTTACCTGGTGGGACCAGCTGTGAGCAGCTGGACATGGTGGTGGGTGACCAGAGAACACTGTGCCTCAGCCTGATGCCAGACCCTCCCACACCTGAGCCAACAGAGAGGCTACACAGGGAGAGCTGCCCTTCTAAAATATTTCAGACTCATTTTCCTGGCCAGGCTGAGTTACTGGGCAGCATTTTGCACCATGTTCTCACAGCATTCCCTTCTGGCACTCTTAGCTTAAAAGTCCACTTTCAGTAGCTTATGGAACCACAGATTTATTGATTCAAACATAGGAAGAGATTAATAAAAACAGCAGTTTGAGACCAACTCCCTGAGCAAACCACAGCTCAGCATTTTCCAGGGAGCCTGTCCCTGTCCTGGCTGGTGATGGGACCCTAGCCCTGCCAGGGAAAGTTGCTGGAGGGGTGCTGAGCAGTGGCAGTGAGCCCTGGCCCAGTCCATCACTCACTCCTCTGGGATGCTCTACCTGCTGCATCTCTCCATGGCACAACCACACCAGCTAGGAGAGACTGTGCTCCCTGGGCTGTGAGCCATGTGTTGCTTCAATCCCTAGTGCATTCCCAGCCACAGGGGCTGCAGACAGCTCACCCAGCCCAGCTGGCTGGTGCTGAGCTCTGGAGGGGACATACTCTGGAGGGGGCTGGGGTTGGGGGCAGCCGTGGCAGCAGAGCTCTGAGTTTGGGCTGTCCCTGTGAGCCGTGGGGAGCAGGCAGCATGCCATCTGTGCCCTGCTCAGGATGCTGCACAGCATCTCCCTGGCACAGCCCACGGTAAGCCAGGGGGGCACTGGTGCTGTCGTGGTCCCTGGGGGCTGCCAGCATCCCTGAGAGCTGGGGCAGCACTGCATCCCCCTCCACAGCAATTGCAGAGCTCTGAGTTTGGGCTGTCCCTGTGAGCCGTGGGGAGCAGGCAGCATGCCATCTGTGCCCTGCTCAGGATGCTGCACAGCATCTCCCTGGCACAGCCCACGGTAAGCCAGGGGGGCACTGGTGCTGTCGTGGTCCCTGGGGGCTGCCAGCATCCCTGAGAGCTGGGGCAGCACTGCATCCCCCTCCACAGCAATTGGGATGAATGCAACAGGACAGCAGCTCCTGACCCTGACTGCTGACCTTTACCCACCCAGAGGGGTCTGGCAGGGAACCAACCCTGACCCGGCAGGGAGATGCGTTGGAGCATCACCCCATCACCCCAACTGGTGCCTTGCTGTGCTGGGGAAGGGACGGAGGGCTAGCTGCCCACGCTGGTGGCCAGATCGGCCACAGCCCTCATTCCTCCGCTGCTTGGGTACCGCTTTGTTGCTAGCTGGTGACATCACCCGAGAGCCCACCCCCTGCCTCTTATCCGTCTCTCCGTCTCGCTCATTTATTCCCAGGCAGCGCTGGCAGGATCAGGGGCTGTGCGAGCGCCAGGGCTGGCGGCAGCAGCAGCAGCATGAGTGCGGTGTCTGAGGCTCAGGGCGCGAGAACCACGTAAGGTACCAGTTGGAGCATCTCTCCTCTCCTCCCTCCGCATCCCCCGGCACAAACTTCACGGGCTTCTCCGGAGGGGCTTGGCACCGACAGCCGCATGCATGACACTCCGCAAAGGAGAGAAAATGACCATAAGTATCCAGGAGCACATGGCTATTGACGTCTGCCCCGGCCCCATCAAACCCATCAAGCAGATCTCCGACTATTTCCCACGCTTCCCCCGAGGGCTCCCTG